CTTTAGGCAGTGACTGTCTCTTATCACACGTACGTACAGCGCCTGGCACCGTCTCAGCCTTGGTCAGGGCCTCTAAGTGCTACCATAATCGGTGTAATTATTAGTACGGAGAACAGAGGCATAGAGAGCTGGAGCAACTGGACCCAGCTGACCTGGAAATTGAACCTTAATCTCCTGAGTCCCAGGCTAGTTCCTCAACCACAAGGCCAACCATCCCCTCCATCCCTTAGGTTACAAACATTATTTCATGGGTTAGGTTTGTTGGGATTTTTTTTCCCTTCTAGGTGGTAGTGGTGATGATGTTCGTTTGGTGGGCCTTTCAAAGCTGCCCAAGTCCCATCATGGGAACTGGGAGTTTAAACCCACTGGGGATCCCGGTAAATCTCAACCTAAAACTAAGGAGACATGTTAACAGTGAAGGTTGGTTAGTCACGTTAGTTACAGTAGAGCCGAGGGACCAGCCAAGAACCCCATTGTGGTAGGTGCTGTACAGGCTCCCGGACTGCTCCTGCCCTGAAAGAGCTGACGACTAAATGAGCTATGATCTAATAATCTGGCTTCCAAGCAGTCCCCTCTGGTCACACCTCGCTCCTGTTTATGTCTCTCTATTTTTAATTTATTGATGGTCTCTTTAGATTCCGCTCACACCTGATTTAGACCTGGGGTATTTTGCACACATGCACCAGACCAAAAGACATTAAAAGAAAAAAAAATCTTTAAGATTTAAACAAATTGGCTCATTTTTTGTGTGGGCAACCCTACTCGGTCTACTCACATGAGTAATGGGATTATCTGTGGGAGTAAGGCCAGGAGTATCTACCCTTCCAAGGCTGCATCCTGCAGACATTTCCTGCCCTGACGAAGGATTGCTCACTGGCAGGGAAGTTGCAGGATTAGACCCTGAGTTGCAGGATATTCGCTACCGACAGCAGTGCATACTACCATGAGCAAATCTACTGGGTCCTATTCCCCACTGCCCTGAAGCTTGTCATCGCCTTTATACCAAGGCAAACAGAGAGAAGAACGCTGCCGTTCTGATGTGGGAGCCTTTTACATCACTTTGCACTGGTGCGAACGGCTGCACAAGGTGCAGGGAACAGAGGATCCGGCCCCTCACCTTCACACGGCTGCAAAGGGACAAACTTGATTCTGGCATCAGAGAAATAGCAGCCCGTGAGCTCTTCGGGGCAGGGCACGTCTCTCGCTGTGTGTCTGTGCAGCACCCGGGGGCCTCGAGCTCTGACTGGCCTCCAAACAATTAATAATAATAATAGAGCAGTTCTTTGTGTGCACTGAGCTGGTCACATGCCCAATATGAAACCTGCCTGTGTTCCCCTCCTCCCCCACCCCCACGCACTGGTTTTATAATTGGATCTACAGGGAGCTCAGGCAAGCTGGCTCCCCCCGCCGAATGCCCAGTGACACCGCGGAGAGGCCCGCTTCGCCCCGCCCGGAGGCGCGTCGAGGGGCCTGAAAGCGGGTGCTCCTGGACTTCACCCCCTCCGCACGCGCCTAGGCCCCTCTGGGCAGCGTAAGCGAAGAGGAGAATCGGGCCCAGGTCGTTCGGCAGCCCCCAAGGCCACACGCCGCCAAGGGAAGAGATTTTCCTCTCCTGAAGCAAAACTCCAGCCGGGAATTAAAAGACACGTCCCTTTGGGAGGTCCCGGAGAAACGCAGCAAGCCTCTCTCGCTCCTTTTTGGCAACCCCCTTAATCGGGCTGGGAGAAATGTACCAAATTCGAATAGCAAAATCGATGCTCCCCTCAAGCCGGAGATCAAAAGCCCCCAGACAAGAACTCGGCCCAAGCTGCCCCCTTCCCATCCCCCCAAATAACCCCCCCACGCTGGAAACGTTCAGAATCCGAGGATCACTTGTTGGCTCCTCCTAGAAAAGCTGCTTTCAAACACATTTCCAGGCCAGAGCCAAGTTATAATCCCCCTGCCCCTCCCCCCACACGGCATGAAACCAAGCACAAGTAATTCCACAAAAGCCAGGAGGTGGGGGGGGGGGCGGGGGGCTGAGCTGCAAAACTCAGGAGGTTTTGAACCATCTCGATGGCTTTCAAACACGCTGCTCTTTGGGTCGATTTTTCCATTTGAAATCGCTTTCGTTTTCAGCCTGTCCTGTCTGCACGGAGGAGGAAGAGGGCGGGGGCAAATCCTCCAAGGAAATTTTAAACTGCATCATCAACCGCTTAAAAATAACCAGCAACGTCTTCTGAAGCAAGAGTCTGTCTTCCCCACCCTCTCGCCCAGGAGCGACTGGATTCCTGGCGAAGTCCGTCTCTTAAAGATCTGGAGCTGGCTTGCCGTTGAAGTGCATGGCGAAGGCTCTCGCTGTCTTTCCGTAAGAGCAGGATCGGGCCCCAAGAAGCCCAGATAAAGCAGCTAGGAAAAAGCTCAAACCCCCGGGGCAGATACGCTGCAGCCCCTGCTCACCCCTATGTCTGGGGACATCAGCAGGGCTCAGGACAGCCAGGGTGCAGGCCCCAGTTCTGCAAAGCGTTGCGCATGCTTAAATCCCCGGCTATCAGTTAAGTATCAGGGGATAGCCGTGCTAGTCTGTATCCACAAAAACACCGTGGAGTCCGGTGGCACCTTAAAGACTAACAGATTTATTTGGGCATAAGCTTTCGTGGGTAAAAAAACCCACTTCTTCAGTTATGTACGTGCGCCAAGCGCTTTGCTGAATCAGGACTTCGGCCCGATCTTACTCCCGTTACTATTAAACGACGACACTATGACAGAGCCAAAAAGCCTGGATCAGGACTTCGCCATTGGCTTGGATGGGCCCAGCCCGGGGAATGGCAGAACGCTCCCCCATAACGCTCCGAATATTTATATTGATTTTTAAAACGTAGGTGTCCACACGCGCTCCAACCAGCCCTACCCTGGTTCCAGTTCAAACAAGGGCAGAACTCCTGCCAGCGGCAACAGAATCAGGCTCCCTGCACGGACCCCGAGCGGCGCCGATCCTGAGACGGGAGCTACGCGGGGTCCAGAGGCGCTGATCGGGCTGCCGAATCGGGGCAATCATGTGTGAATCCCACTTTCCGATATCCAGCTGTTCGGACACAGCCAGTAACATCAACTCAGGCTCGTTATGAAATAACAAAGTACTTTTAACCTGAGCAGCACCACCTAGGAGCGAAATTAAATTATAACGACTTCTCCGGCAACGTAATCCTATGGCTGTGCTCTGCACCTCTCGGTCTCTCCTGGGATTTTTGCTCTACTGTAGCTACATCAATGTATTTAGGGACACTGCAACATATCTCTACCCCCACATACATAAGCTCCACTGGTGCAATATGGGGCCTGAACTGATTTTTTACCTCCTTCACTGGTTAACCCCATTCTGTATCAGTGCAGCACAACTGCATTATAGGGTTTTGCTCTGGTGTATCATCCCGCTGGGGTACAATTCCCTACCCCAGCCTCACGGTGTCTGGCACACCACATGACTCTAAGGACCCCACACATGCTCAGAAATTACACGTGGGACCTATGTTACAATCCAGCAACACACACACACACACACACACACAGAAAACAGGGCCCCGATCCCAGTAAGGGAACCAAATGGTCGGAATTCTGAGCTTGTGGGCCTATGACCCAGGTCTATTAATAGAGTTTCACTCTAACAGAAGCACAAAACTAAACTAGGTCAACATAAGAAGGAAACGTCTGGTCTGAAGTTCTGGTTTGGTTTTGGTTTGTTTTTTTCTGCCGTTAGTTTGAACTAATGAAGAAAACACACGTCCACGTTCGTGTTACCAGCTTATAAGATATGTCGTCTGCAGGCCTGGTCTGACAAACCTTCCCCTCCACAAGCAGGCAACGGACCAGCACACGTGCTTCCAGAATTACACCCGCATTTCCTAGGCTGAGCCAACAGCTTCGCAGAGAAACTTTCTTAGCACTAGCTGGGCATTTGCTGTTGAGTACCGTGCAAAATTAAAATTCCAACCAATCAAAGGACAAAGGAACCCCCAAAAGGGCCAGATCCTGAGCTGGTGTAACACATGGGAGCTACTTTACACCAGCGGGGGATTTGGTCCACAGGGCCCAGGGGGCCTAAATGGAACTAGTGTGCCTTTAAATGAAATTTACAAGATAAACAAACAACAACCCTTAAAGCTCTAACAAAGACTGCAGAAGCAGTTACCAGAGACCCCCCGACTACAGCTTTAATTCTATTTGGACTCTAATATTACAAAAATTAAAAAAAAAAGGCTCTGTTTGTTGCACTGAAGATGAAATATGACAATCCCATTGGTACCCCCTCCAATTCCCCTCCTCCCACTAAAACACAACAGGGAAAGTCTAGTTTCACTTACTGTCTCCAAGGAGATTAGCAAAAAAATGCAAGAGACCCTCCTGGCAGAAAACTCTGAACACAACCCGGGTTTACTTTTTAAACAAACTGCACCATTTTCATGAGCAGGCAAGAGACCAAGTGATATTTCTTTTTAAGTTGCAGCGGCTTTTAGCATGATCATAGAAAATATTGAGAAAGGTGAAGTCCTATAAAACAGCCACAGAAACACATTGTATATATTTATGATCATCTACTTTGACTCCCATACACATGTGTATGATCTAATTTCTGTTCCCAGAGATGTGTATTGCACAGCATGAAAACAGACAGGGCCATGTAAACACTCATGGAACACTAATCAGATTCTCGTGCACATTTTTTTTAAATATTCACCTGTCTTCCACATAGTTATGAGCTGCTCTTTTGTTTCAGAGCAATATATTTATTGCCCAGCATGAAAAAGCACAGGACAGAATATATAAACACACATTAAAACAAAGTAATAGATTAACCTAGTTATAAATCTACTTTGTTCCCTATACGGCCTAATTTCAGTTTTGGCGCTCGCACAGATAACAGCATCTACACTGGATTTCTTTTTTCTATATAATT